TATGTATATATATATGTATATATATATGTATATATATATGTTATTGTTTAAAGATCCTCTTTTTCAAGGAATAGAACAACTTTCAACCTAGGTATTCCCATTTTGAAAAAAGTCCTTGATGAGAATGAGTAGAATAAAGGGAGATACATGATTTTGAGGGAGTGTGCCATGCGATATTGGTGTGCCTGGTCTTCCCCTTCCAAGTAGAACAGGCCGTTTATGATGTGTAACCAGAGAAATCTTTCCTTGGCCCATTTTTGGTGTGTCTCCAACTTACAAATGCTCTCCAAATTTCTTTCTTTAGTGCTCTTTTTTTAAATTACTGAAAGTTTAATTTTAATGCATGAATAACATACCCAGCACTTGATAAGTGTTTGAAAATTATATTGAATGGATGACTGCCTAATGACAGTGATGTACTTTCTGATGGCACTTTTAGGTGGACACCAGATGTTACATAATTACATCACTTATCCAGTGAAATATTGTTTTATATCTGGGAGGCTTAATTACATCTGTTGTTTATTAATTCTTAAATCTAGTTTTTTTTTTTTGGTACTGGGTACTGAACTCAGGACCTTGTGCTTATGGGGTAGGTGCGGTACCACTAAGGTAAATCCCCAGTCTCTTAAATCTATTTTTGATATTTGAAAATTTATTTTAGGGTCTTAATACTGTATCTACTTAATACAAGCGACATTTCTGTATGGAAGAGGAAAGCTGTATACTATAGTGTGAAGGAACTATATTTGGTGAACTTTCTGAGTTAGAAATGAAGGTACCAAGATAACAAGGAAGATCAAAATAAGTAGCAGAGTGGCTAGACATAAAACTCTGAGGTATTGACAAACTATAATTTTCATAGTACTTAAAATGTGTATTAGTCGGTTTTGCATTTCTATATTGGAAGGTCTGAGGCAATTAAGTTATAAAGAGAAAAGTTTATCTTGGATCATGGTTCTGGATGTATCAGTCCAAACTGAGTGGCCCCATTACTTTGGAATTGTAGTTTAGGCAGCACATCATGGCAGGAGTGTGTGGTAGGAAGAACAGATCATCCCATAGACTATGTATCTTTGGTACTTTTTTCCTTACTGAGACACAATACCAGGCATTCACAACTTAAAGGAGGAGAGATTTATTTTGGCTCATGGTTGCAGTCTTTGGTCAGCTGGCTATAAGGCAAAAATGATATAGTAGAAGGGGTTGGATAGAGAAACGTTGCTCACATCAACACAACCAAGAAGAAGTCAGAAAAGGGAAGAGCTGAGGAGGGAGGAGGGAGATATATCATTCCAGGTCATGCACCCAGTGACCCACTTCCAACTAGGACCCACCTCCTAACAGCAAGTCAGCTATAGTGCTCTCATAATTCAATCATCTTTTAAAAGCCCCACTTCTGAACACATGAGGCCTTTGGGGGCCATTCTAGTTCTAAACCATAACATCATGAGACAAAAATAGAGACAGGAAGAGGAAGAGATTCAAGTCCCACAATCCTCTTTAAGAACATATTCCTAATAATCTAAGGAACTATCTCCTAAGATTCCACCACCTCCAAATAGCCACCCTTCACTCCCTGAAAGACAAGCCTTTAAACACATGGGCCTTTGGAGGACCCTCATCCAAACTATTCAGGATGCTAATAAAGATTAAACCACTTTAATGATAATAATATAATTAGAAGTGTATTGGTAATATTATAAAACAGAGATGAGGTTTGAAGTAGTAGAGGAAGAAGAAGAGAAAAAACAAGGAAGAGAATAAAAAATGAAGAAGAAAAATGAGGAGGAGGAGGAAATAGTGACCTACATCTCTATATTAAGAGACAACTATAGTTAACATTATAGCATAAGCACAAACACATAAATACACAGTAACTTCAGTATGTTGTATAAAATTGGCAAGTGGATCAACCTTGGGTGGGATCCAGTCTGCTACAAGTACGACAGGTTTGTTGTAGTTGTAGAGCATTTAGGAAAATGTGTTTAAAAGTTGGTGAAATTTAGGTTCAACTATGAAAGAAGAAAGGAGGAGCATAGGGGTGACTGGTATTTGTAAGAGTAGTTAGTCTCGTAACAGTCTTGAAATAGACATCACAGAAGGGAAGGAAGTGACTGAGAGGATTAAAGGGCATCCATGAAGAATGAGGCAGGAAGCTATGAATAGGCAAGTTGAGAAAAAGGTGTAGTTTGATTGGATACAACGAAGTACATTAAAACTTGGAGAAAGGACTTTAAAATTTAAAAATACAGTCTCCTAACTATTAAGTAGATATGTAAAAATACAGTATTGAAAAAAATTCATAGCCATGAAAAGGGTGCTGTTTGAGAGGGGAGATCGCAGTCCCTTGAATCATGGATGTGTCAGGCTGGTGCTTTATTTGTCACCGCTCCTTTCTAACATGCAAGTTGTGTATTTACTTGAGCCATTTTTTGTTTTGATATTTTAAAAAGGCGAATACCAGAATAGAAATGGACAGACACGCACATATGTAATATAGGGATTGTACCTCAGAGGGCATATGTGTGTGGGAAGGTACACACAGAAAGATAGTGCATGATATCTGTATGTGGTCTAAGAGAAAGATAATTACTCTGTAGCATGTTCTTGAGTTTGCTTGTTTTTCTGCCTTTATTTGACTTCCAATCATCACACAATTCAGACATATGGCATAAGTCATGCCAGAAGTTTAACGTGGCAGAGATAGAGAGATGATATTTTTGTTTAATAGTTGGATTACATGCATATAGTATGACAGTATGATAGAGTAATAGCTCCTGCTAATTATATCAGCCAGTTTTCCTCTGTATCAACCTCAGAATTCTACTAGTTTATAACATAAACATTTATTTATTTCTCACACTACATAAAGGCTGTGAGTTATTCAACTTTAGGTCTACTTTGTGCAGTGAGTCATCTGCATCCTACTGTTTATTTCTTTCTGGAACAGAAAGGAACAGCCTATCTCTGAGACATGCTGCTCTTGTGGCAGAAGGCAAGAGCACAAGAGACTGTAGGGACACACATAGAACTTCTCTGTTCATTGACATAAGTAGGCTCAATGGGGGAGCAGAAGTGTATATTCTGCCCATAAGGAGGTATTACAAGGGTAGAGTATATAATTTGCATAGAGGGGATGGAAAAATGAATGTAAACAATACTATGATCCACAATATCCACCTAGGACTTGGTTTTATTATGCTGGTCATTGGGGTACTAGGGATGCCACAGGAAAAAAAAGAAGTCTTTGATTGCATCAGTGGAAATAAAAAGCTCTGATAGTATCCTATGTCCATCTATTCCTAACTACATCATGTCATTTTACCACTGAAATTAAAAAATGAATTCAATATTTAAAATGCAAATATAATTAGAAATGCAAAGAATATAACAATATTGAAATGCAAAGGAATGCAAATATAAATTATGTAATTTATCTTTTGACGTACCTTATCTGCAGAGACTTGTGCTGACATAATTTCATCTTGTTTAGTTTGCAGATATAAAGATAATCCCTGATACCATGTAAATTATATTATGGAAAGCTCTTCTAAATCATTGTGTAGAGGGAAAAATAGCTGCCCTTCTTATGAAAACAATCTACTAGAATGAAACAAAATGGAAAAAAAAAACCTAGTTTAACCTATGCAGGTCTTTCATCTGGATTGAGTTAGCAATTTACCCCTCAACATATTTTTCTCTGGATTGCTTACTTAACCATTTTAAAGATGACAGGCAGCAGTGATACTTCAGAAGTCTGCTATCAGCAGTCTCCTTCCTCATAGTAACTATTCTCTGTGACCAACTTCCCACTGCCTATGATTGAAAAGCCTAAGATATTAAGGTCTGAAAATTGAGGTTTTGAATTGAAAGGAAAACACCTCAATTTTAACTACAGTGCATGACTTTAGCTTTTTAACATAGTTTTGCAGAATATTGATAAAGAACATTTTAATATTTGAGGTTACTTTTAGCTTAGTTTTTCAGTAAATGAAATAGGAATACTAAGCTAAAATACTGTTAAGGGTGATGTGAATATGAAAGCATAATTTGAATGTGTAACTAATGTTCCTTGGATGTCTTTCATAAGTAGTAAGAAATTAATGATGCCAGATCATCCCTTTGTCGATTGCTGTTTGGGAATTCAGCAACTAAATGGCATTTTACCATTTTCTATGCAAGAACAAAGTCAAAATTCACCTTCAGTCAAGAAAACTTTTCCAATTATTCCAGTCCCAAATGAACTCTCTAAACTGTGAGATTGTTCTTTATTCTTCCCCCCAAAATCTGTCCTATATTCTGGATTTTATGATTCATGGGGCAAAGCCAGGCCTAACTTGTTTACCCTTGTCCCAGTTCCCAGCACAACTTGGCAGGTAGTTGGTTCTAAATCTCTGTTGAAGGAATGAATGTGTTGATTTGCATTATCTTCTGATTTCACATGTAAGTGTTCCTGTCTTCACAGGAATGTATGTTCTGCTAAACTGTACATTAAATGTACATTCTGTTAATCCAGAATGTTAAACTCTGGATTTTAGCTCCCCTGACACCTTGCAAAGTGCTGGCTGGGCACACAGGAACATTATTTATGTGAAAATGTTTTTTCAAGTTCAGTCATGGTTGAGTCTTTTACATCATCATCTCCAATCATGTCACATTTAATTTTTAGGGGTGATATTGCTATGAATGCTCTGAACCAGGGACTGTGTGGTACGGTATGTGTGTATATTTATTGAATGCCTTACCTGGCACCTTGTACACAGCAGATAAATTATTGGAACAAACCAAATAATTAATTTAGTGAACAGTTTAATATTGCCCAGCTGTGTTGACAAAAATATCCATGTACTTAAAACTGACAAAAAATGAGAACTCAAGCAGTAATGGAACAAAAAAAAAGAGTAGGTTAATTTATTAGTTTAATGAATAAAACTAGCAATCAACACACAAGAATATATATGTGAATTATGGACTCTAAAGTTGAACAAAGTCTTCAAGGGCTTTCTGTAACATCTGGGACACAGATGGGGAGAGCTCAACAGATCACCGACTTTGATGACTCAGAGCCTTGGTTCCAACAGTATCTCTTCCATACCGGTGGTCAGGGACCATTTATTTAATCTGTTTGACTCACATTCGTAGCCTCTAAAATGATCATAACAATAGTATCAGTCTCACGGGATGATTGAGAGGATAACATGGTATAATGTAAGGAAAGTACCTAGCATAATAGTAGGCAAAGTAAGTGCTTAATAAAAGTAAGCAACTTAGAGTTCATAGTTTCCAACGCATAACTATGATTAATTGTGTGAGAAATGGAAATGCTTTTGACCCCAATTTGATTATCGCTCATTATATACATATATTGAATTACCACAATATACCCCAAAAGGTGTACAAATATTATGTCTCAATAAAGCAGTAATCTATTATATTCTTGTAGTTATTATTGTTATTTGTTGAACATCTGTAACATAGAGGGAACCATGAGGAAGCTGCAACAAGTGTGGTCTCAGAAGTTATGTAATTGACACTAGGCAAATTATTAAATCTATTATCCCAGTACTCAAAACAAGCAAACTTAGGAAGATCAAATAACTTACCCCAGAATAGCCAGCAAGTACGTGGGAGAGTTGGGATACTGGGACTCAAACATAGTTTCTCTAGCAGAGGTTTGCAGTGTTTGCTCTCCTCGGGAGGCTCCTTCAGAACTTAGGAATGAAGAAGCAACCATCATGTTATTACAAAGTAGGGGAATCCATGGGGAGGGGGCATTATTTCAAGACGGAAACCATAATGGAAAACATCATAAAGAAATGTGGCGTTAGGTAATTTTAGAAGTGAGTGGTAGCAATAGATTTTGAATTTTTACCTGTAGGAACTTATTTTTGTAGGTCACAAAAAGTTGAATGGTAATTTCTAATGGCTTCATCTAAAATATTTTAGTGATAGTGCTAGTGACATGAGCAATGTTTTATACATAGGAAGTTTCAGTCCTCTCCAAGGCTCCCTGTTTTCAAAGAAGGACTCCTGAATGTTAGAGGAAAAAAGAAAATCAGAAATGTGAGCAGAGTAGAGTAAGGTGGTTCTGGGAAAGGAGACATAATCTTTAATGGGATGATGTTCAAGAATAAGTTGGAACAGAGATTAGGTAGAACCCTTGAAGACATCAGTGTAGGAAAAGATTTTATGACCAGAACCTCAGTTGCCCATGAACTAGCACAAACAATCAACAAGTGGGATCTCTTCTTATTAAAAGGCTTCTGCACAGCAAGAGAAACCACCAGCAGTGTGAAGAGACAACCCACAATGTGGGAAAAAATCTTCACCTGCTCTTCCTCAGACAAAGGTCTACTATCTTGAATCTATAAAGAACTTAAAAAGATCAGACCTCCCAAATTTAAAGACCCAATCGAAAAATGGGCATCTGAAATGAACAAACATTTCTCAGACAAAGAAGTAGAAATAGCAAATAAATACATGAAAAAATGTTCAACATCACTGGTCATTTGAGAGATGCAAATGAAAACAATGCTGAGATTCCACTTCACTCCAGAAAGAATGGCTGCTATCATGAAATCAACCAATAACAAATGCTGGTGGGACTGTGGGGAAAGAGGAACCCTGCTCCACTGTTGGTGGGAGTGTAGACTGGTGCAACCACTGTGGAAATCAGTATGGAGATACCTCAAAGAACTAGGACTGGAAGTCCCATTTGACCCCACTATTCCACTGCTGGGGATCTTCCCCAAAGAATTAAAAGAATCATACCACAGTGATATATGTGCACCCATGTTCATAGCAGCACAGTTTGTAATAGCTAAAACTTGGAAACAGCCCAAATGCCCATCAACTGGAGACTGGATAAAGAAAATGTGTTTTTTTTAATTAAGTGGAGTACTACTCAGCCATCAAAAATGAGAAATTAGAGACATTTATAGCTAAGTGGATGCACATTGAAGTAATACTCTTAAGTGAAATGAATAGGACACACATGTGTAAATATCGAATAGTTTCTCTGGTGTGAGAAACTGAAAGTGTAAGGAAGGACTAAATGTATAATAGGTAATGTGAAATAGGAAGAAAAGGGGCAAAGGGGAAGGAAGTGGGAGGGCTAGGGGAAAGGATAGAAGGGAATGGGATTAATATGAGAAAATGGAAAAATAAGAACAAAATCTTTGTAAATAGGGAGGAGTGGAGGGGTTGAAGGGAGGGCTGGGCAAGGGTGAAAAATAAGAACCAAGAGAGACTATGTAAAGGTGCAAATTTCCAATGATGAATGTCATTATATTGTATACCTAAAATGTACCAATGATTAGGATGAATAATTGATAATGTAAAATAGGAAGAAAAGGTCCAAAGGGGTAGGGGTAGTGGGAGGGGCAGGGGAAAGGAAAGAAGGGAAAGGAAAAATGCTGAGAAATGGAAAAAATGGAAATAAAGTCTTTGTAAATAGGGAAGGGTGGAGGGCGTGAAGGGAGGGCTAGGAATGGGGAAAAAATAAGAACCAAGATGCATGATGTAAAGGTACAATTCCCAGTGAGAAATGTAATTGTGTTGTATACCTACAATGTACCAATAAAAGAATTTAATTAAAAAAAAAGAATAAGTTGCTAATACTATGCTTCTTCATATACCGTATAGACATTTTAAGTTAGTTTTAACATGTGTTTTTTAAAGTTTTAGGATATTTATATAAGATACAAACAAATGATCTAATTAAGGGTATTAAGGAGAAATAAGAACAATGAAAGGGTTTCTACAAAATTATTTAAGGTTTCTATGAAACTTTTTAGGAGTGACCTAAACACACAACATTCTTTATTTCAACAAGGGACACATACCAGACACAAATAGTTTTGGTACTCATGTTCTTCTGCTGCAAGTTCACCAAGCAGGTTTCTGTGGCACAAAGGTATAAGAATGTTACTCCACATGTGTAGAGTAAGATTTTACACTTTTTACACTGGAAAAATAGAGCCAAATTGGGCCTTTAAGGGCTGTCTGTGCCTCAATGTTTAGAATGGATTTACCTGCTCTGCAGCCTTGAAGGGATCCTTTATGGAGAGTTAACACAACCTGCTCTGTACTGTGTTCTGAGCTGATGGCATGGCCTGGAGGAAGCAGGGTGATGTTTCACAGGGGCTATCAACTGAAGGGACATTTCCATCCTACCTACTGCCAGGCTCAAAGTCCTCTCTTCAGCTATCCCAAAACAAGTATTTTTATTTCTGGAAACTTCTGGAGATTAAAAAAGGATGCTGTTGTCTACTGAATGTTGTTATATATTATTGAGTTAGGTTCTTTATATACTTTATTTCACGGAACTTCTAATAACCTCACTACTATTGCTATTATTATTATTATTGTTAAATTTTTACACAAGTAGCAATATAGGCTTAGGAAAAAAAGATGAGGTCACATGATTTGATTTGAACTGTCATTTTACTAACCTCAAAGTGCATTCTGTCTGCTATACTACATGGTGCCCCATAGGCAGACACCTGCTTTGTCTTGGTTCATCCATTGCAATATTTACAATATTTCTACCAACATGGTCCTACTAAATCAGTGGATCTGAATTGGGCGAGATTTTGCTTTCAAAGGCCCCATGACAATGCTACAGGACATATTTGGTTGTTACAATTGGGAGTAGCACACGTGGCACCTGGCCATTTGAGGCCAAGGATGCTGCTCAGTACCCTACAATGCACAGAACAGCCCTACAGCAAAGAATTTCCCAACTCAAATTGTCAGGGCTAAAGCTGAGACACCCTGACCCAAATCTTATTTACTACTCAATCCCCCTCACCCCTCCCTATACTTCCTTGTTCTGGAAATTTTTGCCTAGCTTCTGACAATCCATTTTTACTTCTTCACAATTAGACAAACTGAATAATTAATGTAATCTTTCCATTATCAAACTTTCATTAATATCTATTTGTAGAAGTGATTAGCCAGACACCGTGCAGTGAATTAGATCGTTTCTTTCTAATAGGAGCTTATAACCTTAGGCAGACTTCTCTACTAAAGTACAGAAGAGAAACAGCAGGGAAGCAGCCCTGCTGACCTTCCATGTACCAATAGGGAAGGTTTTACATTCTTAAAGGTTAATGGGGGGAAGAAAATGTTTTTCAGGTGAAGAATGAGGGTTGTGGGAAGGACAGTCCCATCGTCTTGGGGTAGCCAAGGAACATCATCATCTCCTCCCTGATCAAAGTAGGATAGCCACATAGAGGACACTGAATTTCAGAATCTATAAACAGTAGAGAGGAATTTGTTCTGATGGCAGGAAAGGACACACTACCATGCAGCATGTCAATACACACAAACATATATACATCCATATAAGCACATTTTTTTCTTTTACAGCATGTTTTTGGTTTTACTGATGAATAATCCTGTAACAAATCTAAACTCTCTCTTGTATTATGCTTTGCCCATGTAAAGGCTGCTACAAGCAAACAATCATTCAGTTAACCTCTGTGTACTTGCAGCCCCCTTAATTTTTTTTTTAGATCTGTTAAACAAAAGGAAATATTTATTTGTTATTTTTTGGAAAACAGATTTATCTGGGACAAATTCTCACAATCCTTTTAACAATATAGCTCTATAGATTTTCCCCAGGCCTAACGCCAACATAGTTTACAGAGAGACAAGCTTCCCAAATCTTGAGCTCTCACAGTATGAAATCCCTGTGTGGTTTAATAGCAGAGGCTGAGGGCTTTCCTGATTGCATTATCTCCGCGTAGCCACAAGAGGGGGCGTGAAGAACGCAATCCCTTTTGGAACTAGGTTTGAAGAAACCATTTCCTTCTTTGCTCAGCAAACAGCATGGACAGCTTCTGTGTTCTCAATGGAAGGAAGAGACCCTTAGAACAATCACTTGCACACCTGTCTTTTTAACATGCTCTCTATACAGAAAAGAGAGAAAGGAAAAGGTTTGAAGTTTCCTCGAGATTTCTTGTCCTGGATTTCCAAATGATGCCCAGGGGAAGAGTTCTGTGAAGTGAGCTCACTCAGGCATTGTGCTCTATTTAATTTAGCTGAAATTTCACCATAGCAGAAGTGGCCAAGGCTGCTAGGGTGGCTTGGTGTTTGAGTAGAGCTAATCTCTCTAAGCTTGAAAGATTTGTTTTCCATAATGATTCATCTCTGTCAAAAAGATTTTAATGATTTTGTTGGCCTTTAGCATTTTCAAAGGAAGAAAAATCATCATTTTCTCTTTTTTTTCAAAATGGTTAGAAAAGAAAATGGGAAAACATAACTCTATGCCCCTTTCTATTCTGCTTATATGCTACTGCCATGGGTGAGTGTCCCATACGAGTAGGAGAACTCGTCCTTCCAGGGATACTCCAAATTGCTATCAAGACCGGCATTCTATGGAAGGACACTAATGGGGCCCTTATTGGGGAGTGAATCTCAAATTCTACCATACATCTAAATTACCCATACTCCCTAGTTCAAACACAGAGTGCTAGGCCACCTTGAATTTCTGATTCAGTTGCTGGAAATGTGCATTTATAACAAATTCTCAGGTGATGCTGATGCTGCACACGGGGATCACGCCTTGAGAATTACTATTCAGGAGAGCACCCCAAAGGCCCTCAGACTTCTCCATTATTCTGGAGGGTTGGACTGGGAATTTGCCACATGAGTGGCAATAATGATGTGTTTCATGTAGTACTGTGCTGAGATTCTGATCCTTCCAAGGTGTCCTATAGCTGAAGTGACACAGTGCGCATCCTTTTCAGATTGGACTGACACTATTCCAAGCTCAGACCTCCTTGCAGACTAAGCCCTATGAAAGCTCTACTTCTGAATTGAACAAAGCCCCCAGACTACTTCTTCTTTTCCCCAGAATCCTTCAAACCACCAAGCAAAAACCTCACATAATTCTGCTGATAGCTGTGGTCTTTGGAGTTTGACAGAATTTATGGGTTAACTCCATCTGTGGGTGACTTTATCAAGTTATTCAACCTCTGTGTCTGTTTATTTTAGTCATCTACAAAATGGGAACTGTAGCTACACCTACCTTACAGGGTGCTTTCATGCTTGGGTTGAATGAGTTAACACTTGAGAAATAATTAGATCAATATCTCAAACATTGTTCCCAATAATGTTGGTATCCTTCATCTTCACTTCTATTATCAATTTCCTTATCTGGAAACTTGAACTAACAACCCTGTAAATTTCTGGAAATGTGTTGTTGTGCTGTATAATTGGGATAGTAAAAATTTTATGACATTAACTTTAAACCTTTCGCGTGGCTGGAAGATATGACTTGTCTGCGAGCAGAGGCCAGGCAATGAGGTATAGAGTCGATTATAATTTCTTAGCAGTAAAGAAGTTCAGACTCTATAGTCAGTTCCAGGGTTTTTAGTTTTGAACAATCTGTGGTTGTGCTTCTATTACCTTGGCAACAGAATAGAACATCCACTGGAATCATTGTTATTTGTGCCTCCAACTCAATAGGAGGAAGAGAAAACATCATCCTGGTCAGATACAGGTGTTTCTTACACACAACTGTGTGACAGTAGGCAAAGTACTTCATGTGCTTAAGAGATAAAATTGGTGTCACGGTTAAAAGCTGCCTCAGGATTACCAATTTTGTTTCCCACATAAGGAAGAAGAATAAGTAATATTCATTTGCTTGTGAATTTTAAACAAACATCTTTGATGTGGATTTCAACTTTTTAAATTTCTTAAAATTTAATTTTCTGTGTAGGTAATATTGTAATTTAATTGTAAAGTTCAAAGGATAGGAAAAAATAAACCTCCCTTCCCACACTTGTCACACATCTACAGTGTCCATCATTGAGACTTTGTTTTATTAAATTAATAAACATTACTTATTTGAACAGTTTTGGGTTTATGGAACAATAGTGCACAACTTACCTGTCACTCCTGCATGCCGTATACACCTAGCCCTCCCCACGATCAACATCCCATTGCAGCATGGCACATTTATTACAGTCCACAAACCAGCTTTGACACATTATTGCCACCCAGGGTCTATTGTTTCTGCCAAGGTTCACTTTTGGTATTGTATGTTTTGGTATTTGTATTTGTATATGTTTGGTATTTGTATGTTTTCTGGGCTTTGACAAATGTATAATGACACATATCCCTGACTGTAGTATCATAGAGATAGATTTTATCATCTTAAATAATCCCATGCTTCACTTATTCTTCCTTTTTCAAATCCCTGATCTCTTACCGTGTCCACAGTTTTGCCTTTCTTAGAGTCCTATAGCTGAAATGATACAGTACACATCCTTTTCCAATTGGCTTCCTCTATTTAGCAATATATTTTTAAAGGTCTCTTTATGTCTTCTCCATTCATGTTGATATTAATTTGTTTTTCTTTTTTTATTAATTTTATTGGTACATTGTAGGTGTACAATATAGTGACATTCATCATTGGAAATTTGCACCTTTACATAATCTCTTGGTTCTTATATTTTCCCCATCCCCCTGCCCTCCCTTCAACCCCTCCACCCCTCCCTATTTACAAAGACTTTGTTTCCATTTTTCCTTTTCTCATATTAATTCCATTCCCTTCTTTCCTTTCCCCTCCCCCTCCCCCTTCCCCTTCGCCCCTTTTGTCCCTATTTCATGTTAATGTTGATATTAATTTGTCACTTATTTATATTTACCTATTCAAGGTCCTCTTAGTTGCATTAATGAATAAAGCTGGAGTAATGAATAAAGCTGCTATAAGTATTAGTTTACAACTTTTTTCTGGACTTAAATTTTCAGACTGAGACTGTGATTTAGGACTGTATTATGTCTCACCTTAATCTTGTGTTGAAGTTGATATCAAATAGCAAGAATGGTCACTGTCACAGATCTTTCAATGGAAACATTTCCTGAAATGGGTTCTTTTGGTTTTCATTTTTTTGGTTTCCATTCAGGGTTCTCCCTGCCTATGAACCCAAGAAAGTTTACCATCAGCCCAACCATCATTCCATTGTTCCATGTTGAATCATTCTCAGTCTGGCCTTTTCCATGTTCAGTCACACTTGGCATGCCCACCTCACACTCCTGAACCTACACCTATGGCTATGTTCGTTAATTTCCTTCCTTCCTTCCTTCCTTCCTTCCTTCCTTCCTTCCTTCCTTCCTTCCTTCCCTCCCTCCTTCCTTCCTCCTTACCTTCCTTCCTCATTGTCCTCCTCCTCCTTCTTCTTCCTCTCTCTCTCTCTCTCTCTCTCTCTCTCCTGGGGATTGAACCCATAGGCTTTAAAATATTTATTTTGGGACAAGTTCTTGCAAAATCACTAAATTGAACAGGCTGATCTTGAACTTGTGATCCTCTTGCTTCAGCCTTCTAGAGTACTGGGATCACTGGTGTTTAGTACCAGAATATCAATCTTTCTATTTCCCTTACTACATCATAGACTGCATCTTTCTCCTTTACCTCCAGAATGTTATGTAAAGATTTGCCTGCAAGAAGTGTTTAGTAAACATTTATTGCTAGCACAAAATTTTGTTGACATTGTTGCAGTTAAGAACTATTTAGTTAATCAGATTCCATATCCCCTAGCATGAAAGATGCAGACGCCTAAGAGGCAATGGTGTAAGACTAACAATAACTAGCATATTTTAATATTCAGTATGTATTAGGTGCAGTGGTAAGTATTTTCATGTAAGTTATCCCACTTACCTTTATAAAATTCTCCATTCATTATCACTGCCATTTTACATATGAGAAAATTGACCCTTAGCAAAATTAAATAACTTGCCTGAGGATCTAGGCAAATAGATCATGTACTACAGGAATTTCAATAGTGCATTCCAGGGCCCGTGGCATAAAAATACAAAACAAATTCGATGCCAGATTTTATGTAATTTACCTGTTACATTATTTAAATGCAAGTCCTCATTAATGTCAGTTTGTGTATGTGTGACTATTTGATTAGTGATCTTTCCCCAAAGTCCATAAACTTCATGAAGATACAGCCTTTCTGTACCCTAAACCTCCAGCTCCTAGCAAAGTGCCTAGTCTGTTCAGGTATCCAAATCTGTGAATGATCTCAACCTTCCTGCCATTCCACAGGTTGAACTGGTATATCAGCTCTGCTGTAAGGTTAAACTATTTTGGAAACTAAATGTGAGCAGACTTTACAAGGAATGCATTATTACTGCATTCTGTCAGTGGTTCCCAACTCTATCTTTCAGTCTTCAGATTAATTTCTTGTAAAAGTCTTTGATGAAGGAAAAGACACATTACTATGCAAAAGAAGAGATAATTAGGTCCCTGAAAGCATATATTCCAAATAATTATTATAACATTATCAAGATTCTGGAAATCTGTTCTTGAAATTCTGACCACATTTGTGAATACTGGTTGCGGGGATTATGCTGTTGTGCCCACCCATAAGTTATCTGTTTTAACACAGGAAGGAATATTTATGGCCTCACAGTTAAAACCGCAATGTACCTCTAAACTCAGAAAATCTATTAGAGTTCTGTGTGTTATCAGAAAAAAAGTGGAAACAAAAACAGAGTGTATTGTTGTCTTGACTTCCTATTGCTTAGAGTTTCAACTTCTCAGCCTGGCATTCAAGAAATTTTATTTTCTGACCCTAGTTTATACCTTTGCCATTATACAATAGTCCTCAATAGGAACTCTGTCTACTAGAATGGATTGTGCTGTCTCTCTCGTATGTCAAGGTCATTTTAATCTTCACTGCTCAGATAGTGTGATTTGCTTGCTCACTTCTTTATCTATCCATACTTTCTCTGATTCTCCAAAATCAAAGATAAATATGGTTTTCTGCTTTATCCTCTGACTTTCATATGTATGATGATCTCACTCAAAATGTAGTAAAGTGACTTAAGGCTCAGATTCTGATTTGGCTTGAAATAAAGTTTCATCATTTGCTATTTAGGTGATTGTGAGGGAATTACTAAGTTCTCCAAATGCAGTTTCCTCATCTGTAAAAATATAAATAAATAACATTGCTTTATGAAATTATTGTGACAGGTAATGAACCTTTGCATATAAAATACTTAACAGGGTATCACATAGAAATCAACAAATATAGACTGTTTTGAATTCTTAATTATTTCAAATATTTATTTAGCCAATTAGATTGTAATTTCCTGTGTAAGAACCAATCATGATTTTCATTTGAATAATCACACATCCCTAAGCAGTTGATACATTCTTTTAGTCCCAACTTAATTACAACATAGAGCTAAAGAAGGAAATAACAGCTCTGCTATGTATTTCTCTGGTTATGTCTGCCTGATGTTTCAGTTCATTGTAGTTGGGAGCACAAGAGGAAGACTGCTTTACTAGTGTGGTGATGGGGTGAAGATTTTGTGCCCAATTTTTGAAATATAAGGTTGATGAAAGTTTAGAATCTTTAATCAGAATCAAGTAGGCAGTAGGATTCACAGGCAATCCCTAGGGGAGAGGTGGACATGATTGAAGCCATAGACATGGTAGGGATTCAGCTTGACATGACTATAGCCATCTTGGTTGTAGCCTCCATGTTGTTCCTATGAGATCCTGATATGCATTCCCAACCCAATGGAGTAAAATAAAGTAGTTAAAATGCTCAGCTGAGCATCTTGTGCCAGGCATGGACAACTTTCTCCTAACTGACTCTTGACAGTAGTTTTTTAGAATGTCCATACACATTCTGGTTGGTTGTAGGTTACTTGAGTTTGACATATAAACCTGTTCCTCTTGTCGTGGAGTGTGAGGGTCCTTCTGTCTTGTTGCTGCCCAAGAAGTGCTTCTATCTGTAAGTTCCCAATGAATTGTATTAGTTCTTGTACACCAGATTTCCCACAAACAGACATCTCCTTAGATGACAGTATAGAGCTCTCCCCCCAAGGTAATCTATAAGCAAGGATTGTAGACTTGCACTTAGGTTGCGTAGAAGGTGATCTGTTTGCAAGGTGAGTGGAAGCATGAGTAGGGAGACAAAAGTGAAACAATAGTAGTGCTATGCCCCAGGGCAAGAAAATATTTCAAGTAGATGAGTATGTTTGGTATTGCCCAAACTTCTGAATGTCAAATAAGATGAAGACTAAAAGAAATAGGTATTTACCTACAGGAGGCCACTATTAACCTTTGTGAAAACTATTAGAGGGTTATTTGGAGTGGATCAAGAAGAGAATGGGAAATAAAGAGAGATATTGAGTAAAGAAAACATTTAGAAAATTACTCTTTAAGGAAGACTAGTGTTATAAAGACAGGGATAGAATTTCAAGGGAAGTTTGGACCTCATTATTTTTTCAAGTTCTGAGTGTATTCAAAGTCCAGTTGGTAGGATGCTGATAAGTTATAAAATGGCTGGGTCTGCCTATATTAATACATTAGGGTCCCAATGGTCTGTACCACAGGGTATGACCTTATCTGT